TTAAAATCTAAAATATTTCTATGCGAATGTATGCGAAAATTCTCGTTCTGGGTGTTTGCAAACGTTACGGAGAAAACTGGTCGAGCATTAGAATAACTTTTTTTGTTATCATGAGCATTTGAACTCATGCAAGTATTCCTCGTCAGACGTAGCAACAGCATAAGTAAAACGGTGACAATGATAGCCGCGCAAGCTAATCAGTTACGAATAACTCAAGTCTGAAGGTGACGGTGCAGGGCCAAGTTCGCCAAATGGATGCATTGATTACTTGAGTTCATATGCGTGGACCAGGTTTCGACAAAATCACAGCTTGTCTTGTTTCCACCGTGAACGGTTTTCCAGAAAACTGTTTAGTCGAAATCACGCCACACTGTAAGTATGTGCGGAAACTTGTGATAATTCGTCAACCCGTCGCACAGCCAGGTTTATTTTCATGTTTGCGTGATTGGCTTGGACCCTCTTTAATTGTCACCTTTTTACTGTTGATGGTATCTCTGTCGATGAACTACTGCAAATTTTTGAAAGTTCAGAATAATGAAAAAAATATACCGAGTGTTCGACTAGACTTCTTCCGCACTTTTTTTTCGATGCGTGAAGAGCCGTGCGTTGGAAGTTTGCCAACTAACGAGGTACCTCTGTACTACTCTCATAAAAGAGAATCAGACCGCAAATAACCCATCAAAATGTGGCCTATTTTGCACTACAGCTCAGATGGACTCTGCGCAACCCTTCTGTTTTCATGAAAATCCCTTCCATCAGGGGTGGAATAGGCGTGTGTATGTTTGTGTGTGTGCCCTCCAAAAAGGACTGCTCGATAGATGTGTAGGCGTCTAAGTCGTGAATCCGCTCATAACACTACAATTATCATGCCCAGTTCCGCATACGAAGAGGAGGGGTAAGCCAATAGAATTGAATATGCGAGTTCCATGAAGCAGTTCAGAAGACGAAGAAGCGATCACTGGCACAAGAGTTTTATTGTCTTAACGTTTCGGATTCCTTCGGCAATCCTTAGCCATAGGTAATCGTAGACAAGTTTGAGACATGCACAGATAAGGGTGATATATGCACAGATTGCACGGTATTTATAGTTCCTAGCCCTCAACCGCATGCGTACTATAATTTTCAGTTCCTGTAGCCACCACTTGTGGTCTTAATTTGTGCGGTCATGGCTCATTAATTGCCACAGCGTTCTCGTCCGCGTCGGATGCGGGTTTGATAATTGCGCGACATTATGCCCGCTGTCGTCATATTTGTTGCAACGCCCGATCCTTCCCACGTGACTGGTTCTCTTGCTCTGGAAATTTCTCAGGATACCGTGTGGGAACGCCAACCTTCGACCTTGGAGAGAGCGTCGAGTGGTCGATGTGTCATGAGAAGGGACGACACCTGATGACGTATACGGTTTTTCGTTTCGTCCGTCGCTTCTGTTTGGCTCAGAATTGAATCTGCAGTAGCAACCATGTTAGCAGGCCTGGCATCAGCTGTGTTGAATGAGGCTTCATGCCTTAACACCTGCATTTGTTCTTCCGTCAGCTTTTTGGATGACAGGTTGTGCACCAGTTTTTCAGCTTTGGATGAATTTTGACGAGGTAGTTTGCGGAACTTAATTGCAAGTGATGCCTCTTGCTTCGCTTTGTGTTCGCCGGCTCGTTCGGCCACCCTCTGCTGGAGCAGTTTTGTACAATTCTCGCCCATGGATTCAAAGCACTTTGTCTTCTCTTCATCGATCCTTTGACGGTTCTTGCAAAGCCTCGCATGACAATCTTGAAGGATTACTCGGATCATATCTCTGCCATTTTTAAATTATTTGCGTCTCGCCAGCTCTGTATTAACCGGAGGTCTGTACGAAACACATTTTGGTAACACATTGTTGTCGAGGCACCTGTGCAGGAATCGAATCTGCGCTGGAGCTGTTTATTGTATACAGAAACTCAATGGTGATCTGAAGCCCCGACATGCGGCAGGCTCGGATTTTGCGCGCACTTCTGTCTGCTAGCGTGGTGTGGTTGTAAATGCATAAACGTTATGCTAGACTAAGTAGCTGGCCGCTTGGTCAACCGCATGACCAATAGCCGTCTATGGCACCTGTGACTTGCTGTCCCAGAGGCCATTCGATACATGCTATCACGTGGCGCTGACGGTGGTCGGCGCTACAGATATAATGCACCAACACGGGGGCTAAGTCAGGCCACAGCAGACATTAATTGTGTTGCGCTACCACAACAAATGCTGAACCCAGCACACTTGGTTGTAGGCTCAGGTCGCGCCATGCCTCTGCGCCCGATTACGTCTCCGGTCCTCTTGACTCTCTCCTGACAGTGTTCATTAGTGGTTGAGTACGAAGAGATTGCAATAGGTACAGTGCAAGTCTACTATGACTTCAACATAATCCTCGCCCAAGTCAGAGTATATTCATGATCTTGATATGGAACAGGCGACTGACCAGCTTGGACGGTTGCCTTATGCTGGAGGTGGGATGGGAATGAGACCGATGATGCAGTGATTTTTCCTGACTAAAAATAACCTGACGTGCTTTAAGCTATCACGGTGCGCTAGACTCTGCGGCGTTGAAAGTTGCCAACTGACGGGATAAGTTGGACCGTGCCGTCAGCCCTGTTTGTGTTATGTGGCGTGGCTGAGTGGTGGACTGAGAGTCAGGCTGCAATTGCTCCATCTTATTATGGGCTGTGTGGTCCTCCCACCCAGCTGAGGTCCGAACCACCCCTTCGCCCAATTTCTGGTTTTAATGGCCCACAGTGCGTTGGCCTGTGTTCTATTCCATCACCAATCTTCTTGTCTTTGCTTTGACATCGCATTCAAGTGGATGAGTGGCACAGAAGATGCGGTAGATACTTAGATCGATTGCTTATCTTTGTCAGCCAGCGCCTCCTTAAAGGGCTCCGGTCATTCTTACTGTGTCTTGTTACCAGGCCTCGGTGTATAGTGAAAAAGAGCACGTGGCTGATGCTTTTCAAGGCTGTCATCGTTTGAAAACTAATTTACGCACAATTTGTTAATATTTTGTCCACCATGCTGTGAGGCAAATGCTGGGCATAATTTGTAATGACAGTTGCACTTTCCTTATCAAATACCGTGAATGCCCTGCTTTTTAGGCCTTAGCAGATCTGTGCATGTCAATTCCAGTTTCGGTCTGCATAAACATGCATGAATCTGTGTGCAGTTATGGGAGGTGTTTAGGTAAAGGGGTGCAGGAGAAGAAAATAAATAAGAATACCGCGATTTCAGCTTAAAATCTCCAATCGTCGCCTGCTCAAAGGAAGGCCTGCCAAACGTTCTCTGCTGCGAGACCAATAAAAGCCACCAAGTTTTAAAACTTCCGGCTTTCCATGAAACCTAGCAGCCTACACTCAACCACCTACTTTTCAGCCAACCATAATGTTTGAACTTTTCGACTGTTTTAATTCAGGTACTGTGGGACTGTCCGGCAGATAAGAAATTTAAGCGCGCACTGAAAAGAGGAAATTGTTTTTCAGAAGCTCCCAGAAAATAGCCCCAAGGTGCACATCCGTGGACAAAACCTATGATCGATCGACAAAAGTCGGCAAAAAGACAAAAGTCGAAAAGGTATTTAAGTGAGCAACTAAACGGCAGCCAAACGTTGCTCGGACACCTGAGCTAAATAACATTCTCTTTGCACAGAAACGCATAATAATTGAGAAAACAAGGAGCTTCAGTTGTGTGTGGTCGCGAATGTTTATTCGTGGAATTATGCTAAGGAGAGCATCCTGACGCGTAGGAAAGACATGCTAGCATTAAACAGTCCTCGTTTGCCACTTTTATATCGAACTGTAGCGAAATTGAGGAGTCTAAAATTCTTTGCTACACTCTATTTAAGAAAACGAGGATGAGCAGAATGACGCAAACCCTATACCTATCCATCGGGAGGAATACAGACTCGGGACGCTTTTGCGACCAGAAATGCGTTCTTCTAGGGTAATGAGCAATACACAAAACTCGTTTCGAGATTTGGGGGAACTAATATGTACAATTTCAGGAAACAATTACATCGTGACATAGGCGACGCGTTGTATCATATAGACTTACCGTAGTAAAGAAGAGTTGCTGTGATGTTATGTCATTTAAACTTAATTAAACCTACCTAGCGTCGAAAAAATTAATGAAACGCTTTACGAATCAAAATGCAGAATCAAATGAGAGGGAATTTCTTTTAGCGTCACAATGATATTTTGACGTTAAGATCGATTCCCTGTTTAAATAAATACCTGTATACTCATGGATATTTATACCGTATTTGCTTTTTTATATAATCCAACAAAGTATTAAAGAAAGTATTCCTTTGAAGGGACGTTCAGGATATGAAATTTAAGTGTCCAATAACAGTGTTCTGCTGCTTGTTAGGAAGTAGAATACCGTCTCTATTAAGGTATTTGGAAAACAGTGCGCAAATATGGTATAAATCTTTCGGAAAAATGCGTTTACGGTTCTGGCCCACAGGTGGTATAATGAATGAAGACATTTTTCACTTGAACGTCATCTGCTGTTATGGAATAACCGCGTGAACTGCAACCCCGAATACCTTTCAAGTGCCAGCAAGGATACTAATAGTATCCATGCCGTTTGGGGGGGGTGAAATTCCCGAGTCAAATGTGTATGGGAAAAAGTTGCTTTACTGGGAACCCCCTGATGGTCAGGAAGGGTAGAATAATAAGCAAACTATAAAATTGAATTCAGTGGAACACAGCAGAGGCGACCCAAGGCACACATGCAAGACCATGAGTAGGCAAAAAATAGTGCAAACGCAGTCAGCAAATGTGACAACTGGAGACGCCTGAACCTCCTAAGAAATCCGAAAGATCACTTTATGATCACTTTTTCGGGGAAAATGTCCATTCGACGTCCATGGCATGCCCAACGTACCAAGCGCAACAGTCGTTTGAGTCTGTACTGGTTTCTGAAGAAGATGTGATTGCTGGGCCAAGATCATTACTCGCCTGACGTTTTGAAATACTTCGCGGTTTCTTCATCAGAAACCTTAGCAGAAATAGAAGGAGAAATGGGTAATTCGTGCACAAGGGGTTACATTACTTATAAGATACAGTCACTACCGCATACTCATGATGATCAATGACTCCCCTATCGACCATAATCGCCCACTCATGCGCGCAGTGCCTGATCACCGGTATGCGGGCCGTGACCTGCTGAACTTATATCACACGTGGGCATGCCAATACAAGTGAATGTGCGAGTTTCAGAAAACAGTTCAGAAGAAGAAAATACGATCACCGGAACAAGAGTTTTATTTGCCTGACGTTTCGGATCCTCTCGAGAATCCTTAATCATGGGTAATGTTAGGATAGTCTGAGCCATGCGCAGATAGGAGTGAAACATGCGCAGGTTGCATGGTATTTATAGTTCGTAGCGGTCATCCGCGTACCTACTATAATTATCCGCTCTTGTAGCCACCACTGGGGGTCTTAATTGGTACAGTGAAGGCTTGACACTTGGTGTTCGACTTATTAATTGCCGCGATTTCCTTGTCCGTTTGGGATGCGGGCTTAGTAATTGCGCGGCAATTATGCTCGCTGTCGTCAGAGTTGTTGCTGGGCCTAGCCCTTCCCAAGTGAATAATTCTTCTGCTCAGACAATATCTCAGTACGTAGTATTGGAACGCAAAATCGCTGCGTGGGCGTGATGATTACTTGGCCGTCTGGTTTACCTCAATTGGAGTTAGACGACGCGGTGGCCTGTGCGATTCCGAAGTGGCGACTAGCTTTGGCTCTGAACAGGTCAATGCACGTGTTTATAAACTTAGGCTCCTGAACCATGACTCAACTGATTCGCGACTCGCACGATTGTCTGAATGTGTAGTCGCCTCTCGTCGAATTAACCGCAAATTGAGATTTGGCATCATTTCTCCCCACCGCTGCCGCGTGTTCGGCGATCCGTGTCTTGAGAAGTCTTCCAGATTTTCCAAAGTAGCTGTTTTGTACGCAACTGCACAAGTCTATATGTTTCTTGCTACGGCAATAGGTCCTTAGCTTTCATTATCAGATGCCCTATGCTTGTCTCTAGCCTGTGTATGACTCCAACTCCGAGTGGCGCGAGAAGGCAGCCGATGGCCACTGAGAGATTCTTGAAGTAAACATTTCTGCACCAAAATTTGGAGTTGGTGCAATTATATTGTACATATCGTTTGCGCATGAAGCGGTTGACAAAGTTGCGCGGGTAACTATTTTCTTGAAACACCCGTCGAAGGTTTTGAATTTCAGCGACTTTGTCTTTCGGTTGACTTCAATGCATCTCAACACGCTGATAGAGCGTCCTTACGCAACACTGCTGTGGCTAATAACGAACTTGCTGTTAAAATGCAGTACTCGCCTCGTGTTTGGCCCTTCCCTGAAACTTTAGGCTCTGGGCTACTTAACTATTTGCGGCAGACGAAGACAGCAAGGAAGGCCAGCTGGGTATTTTCTTAGTCCTCTGTCGTAAATTGTTTGCCCGGAAAGACGTTCTTTGAACGTAATCACCTGATCCCTTTTCATGCGGACAAAGATCTCATCCACATACCACGCCCAGAACTTCAGTCTATGGTGTTGGAAGACCAGCAACTATAACCGTTGTACGACTGCCTCGGCGATGCAGTCTGAACTCATTGACCACATTAATGTTCCCTTCCCTTGCTCTTAGATTGTTCACTCAAACGTTAAATACGGTTTGAGACAAAACTTCAGAAGCTTTAGGATCTGGGCATGTCAGAGGCGATTCTCTGTCTCATTAAATTTAATTTGTAGGAGTAGTTCAAC